GCCATCGAAAATGACGACTGACCGACTAACTGATGTCAAGGCCATAAATTATATATATTCGATCAGTCGACTTATCTGCAGTTCTATAAATTTGTCATAAATTTGATACGTTTACGTACGAACCATTACCAAAGTAAAATGTCTTAGTAAAAGTGTCATCTTGTTTAGGGGAATGCGAAAATCGGTATAACACTAAATGCAAATCATTTCGCTAAACCCCTAGCTCTTGTCTACCACAAATCCATCAATCATTTTTGAACCTTTTGTTCATCTTACCGATGAACCGTAGTCTTCCATTCACAGGTGGCATGGCGAAAGTGCTTAATCTTGCTTTCCTAAGCTTTAACTTCTGACAGAGACCTTTTTATCCAAGCCTTCCGTCAAGGTTGATAATCAGATGGTCATTCTTCAAGGCAATTTGTCTGAAAGATATACAGAGTCTGTCAACCTATGACTGCTTGAAGACTGATCACACCGCCGTGAGGCAAAAGTAACTTGGCTGTGTTAAGTTAGGGGGACACCCAAACTGATGGTAAGTTTTGATTAAGCTATAGACCCTCATGTAAAAGTAAAGTATTGTTTTCTGCATATTTCCAGAGAATGCTGTTCAACAAATTACTGCACTTTCTTGCCAGAGCAGATGACCCTAGCAGATGTAGGGATTAAGAAAAGCAAGCGACCCTTTTGACAAACTGACTGAACTTAAGTCATTTACTGGAGATCGGTGGCTTCCGTTTTACAGATGAAACATGACAGACATCGGCTGAAGCATAAAACGAGCATGCAAAGTGAATGAACAAGCGTCAGAGAAAAGGAAGCTCGAAGCCCTTGGAATTTTGGTCTACGGTACACTTTCGTGATGAGGCCATTTTGCCATTTCCATGCCTCAGGTAGAAATTCCTTATTTTAACTGATACTATGAATTCTATTTATCAACCTTATAGGGAAGAAAGGATAGTGATCCCAACAACGGCTAGAACTTGAGGCCCTCGGATTTTAGCCGGCGCTCTGCCTGCTCAGCAATAAAGGTGTGAAGCAACGTGTCAGAAATTTCCAGCTCACTGGTATTCATGGCTAAGACAATGGTTACCTTTCAGCGAAATCGATCCCGGCACTCTGTAGGTGCGGACCGACCTCTAAGCACAGCACCACCGCCCTTTTGAGTGAACACGATCGAGGACGAGGCTGCGTATTGGCAGGAATTGATTTTTCTACAGCCTCTTCATAGCAGAGGTAGTGCAAAACTGAAAACTCTGGCACGGCAATTCCCTACCATTTTCATCAATGCTACTGGTACACTTGGAGAAAAGAACCTTGAGGACCCTGGTCATTCCCTATAGAAAAACTTGCTACAAGCCAAAATAAAATGGTTTCCGTGATTAAGACCTTCAAGCCTTTTACATTTAGAATAAAAACATTTTGTAGCTCTTAGACGCCTTTATTCTCAAATCCCAATCGACAGAGACAGTGATGTCTAGTTTTTTGAAAATGAACATGCAGAGCATTTCTTTGCATTGTTGAACTGCCGTTTTTTTTCACCTGCTGACTCGTTGCTGTTTTCGCTCTCAAGCTGCTGCATAGATGTCTTGTTTCCTTATAGATATTTTCTGTTTACCAAACGTAGGGGTGTGAATTTTTGTATATTCTTGAAGTCAACATAAACAAAGTCTATAAACGTTGTTTTTCAGTGGACTACGCTTTTTCCATGGCGCAAAAGGTCCCCCAGAGCAATTGATTGTTTTGAAAATGTTACATTTTACATATAAATATCTTCTATTTCTTAAGTCCCTCGCCTTCTAGTACATCGTCTGTAACCGATCACCCTTCGAATTGCACTTTTTTCACTAAGGTCAACGCAAATCTATTTCGTTATGACTTTTTTATCAGTAAGAAAAGTGCCCTTAAAACGAGCGTCACCACTTGTTTTGTAGCCTTTGCGTAGTCATTGTAGGAACTCAATGGGGACTCATCGAAGGCTTCTCAGCGGTCGTTGTCATAAAATTTGTGAATTAGAAAATGAGTAGGGCGACTTCCGCCGGTGTGGCCTTTAGGCACATGGTGACTGTTAATTACGGATGTTGCCGTCGACTGCGTGCGTGTGTTAATTATTCATTCTTGTCGTATTATGATGTAGAACGTCACGTGACGTCATGCTCGATTGATTACACCAGTTTGTACCGAGAGACGGATGGCTGATCAATATTTCTTATCGATCGCTTTTGCTTAGCAACTGTAATGTTGATACATCATACTGTAGGCAAGGAAAATTCTTTTTCTTTACAGCACATCGCTGGCAAAAGAAAGTCTTTCCACTGATGCCAACTTGTTTTCGTGTTGTAGATGACGACCGGACTGTTTGGACGAAATTCTGCCCTTTAGGTATGTTAAACATACTGTAGAGAACGAGTGTTAGGAACTCAGAAATGCTGGTGATACACGAACAAGTACAAAATGGAAAGGCAACGCTTTCGAATCAAAGGTATGGAATTGTGCCTTCGTCCAGTACTGGCTTTTAATGCAAAGTATAAAAGTTGATTTAGTTGTCAGCTTTGCTGCCGTAGATCACGGTTTTAGTTATCTGTTCGGTTACTTTTAAAGTTAAGCCATAATCTGAAACATTGGAGTTTGCAGACAGCAGGCTGAAGAATAATCACAGAAATTACCTGAGGGTTTTATTCAATTTTTTTGCAGGACTCCCGCAACCGCTGCTTGGCAAAAGATCATATTTTGTGGTTTAACAAAAGAAACCATGGTTCGTAAACCGTGGTGTTTTGGCCATACAGCTGCCCCTGGGAATCGGCGATGATCGAACAGGTAACAGATTGGCTTCAGCTTGCTCCAGTACAGACGTACTTTTTTGGTCTAGACGACATTCGAAGAGCGGACGTGCAAATCGTCATGCGAATTGGAACCCTGCCATGGACACACGACGTTTGTCTCCTCCGGGAGAACTCGAAGTCGTACTTGCGACCAGCCATGGCCAATGCGACTTACTTTCGATTTTATAATTATTACTGTCTAAATAATGTCGGTCGAGTAATGTCACCAAGGGAGGCAATTATCATAGCCACGTCTACAATGCGAGCATATGCCAAGGTGGCCACGAACAATGCGTCTGTGTTTGCTACAGGTGGAACCCTGCCATGGACGGTCAGGTCGGTTCGGTCGCTTCGGTCCGGTGACCAGCGTTCACACCGGCGGAGACGATGGTCGTCGTCGATTCACAAAGCGAAGCAGCACGGGTGGTCGATGCTCAACGGAGGATAATCTTGCCATGAGTCACATCACAGACAGGAACCTCCGTGCGTACACCTGAACGATTCTCTTCGCTCTCCCTCTCGTGGTCGCCGTCGACGACGATGCAATGATGTCACGTGACGCCTACAGCCTTTTACCTACAGTTGCCGGGCAACCGACCAATGGAAAGACGACGGCTGCCGCGGCGTTCTTCGACTCCGCCGCTGCCACCGACCGTTCATCTCAGTGCACTTCGATCAGCATGATGAGTGAGCGAACAACAATGTCTGTACTGGTTGTTCGACATCGGCACTGATATTCGAGGGGCTGGAGCCGTTACGTCATGCTGGTCATGCAGACAACGGACGATGGTCTGACAAATTTGAGTTGGTTGGTGCAGCCAAGCACCTTCAACGCCTTCACCTGTTGCTCAGCTCCTCCACTGTCGCCCCCTCCTCCACCTTCACAGCCGCACGTTGCGTCGTCGAACGTCACCGCCGC